GGTGGTAAAGAACCTGCCTGCTAATGCAGGAGATGTGGGTTCAATCCCTGGGTGGGAAAGAGCCCCTGGTGAAGGAAATGGCAACCCACTCCAGTATTCTTGCCTGGGAAATCCCATGGACAGAGGAGCCTGGTGGGCCACAGTCCATGGGGTGGCAAGTGACTTAGTAACTTAACAACAGCCCTGCAGATGCACTCTCCTCCACAGCCCCTGCATCTGTCCCACCACTTGGCTGTGCAGGGCATGGGGCTACGAGAGTAAGAGCTGCCAGCCTCTGCAGAAAGGCAGGTTGGGGGGAAAAAAAAGGCAGGCAGGTGGGGAAACCCTTTGGGGTAGTGAGGAGGGCAGAGAGAGGCTCCACCTCACTGTTAAAAGCACTTCAAAAGGAAGGGGTGGAGCAGCGGCCCCTGCTGGAGGGAACTCTGTGGGTGCTGTGAACGCGGAATCCATCTGTGCCTAACATAGTGCCTAGGTAAGTTGCTCCTGTGGAAGAATTTTCAGTAGGTGAAGGTCCTCTACCCCACTACTCCTCCACCACACACACTCCAATCATTCCTGACTTGGCCTTGAGCAGTACTTGTTCTTCCCTTCCCTGCTTCTAACCAGACAACCCTTCTTAGTCCTTGGGCTGCCTCTGCTTCTGACAGCACCTGGAAGAAATTCTCACCTGAAACCCCCACCTCAGATATGCTGAGTACCAGGCAGGCTAACCACCATTCTTTCCTGCCAAGGGGAAGCTTTGTTCTCTCACCGTGACAGGGCCACTCAGCCCTTCCTTCCCCTCCTCAGCCGACCGCACCAAAGAAACCAGAACCCAGGCCGAAGTATCAGAAACGTGTATTCTTTTTCTTTTAATAGTAAACCTCTTTACAACAAATATAGTGAAAGAGTTTTCAAACAAAACTCATAAGAATCTCGAGGACTTTGTCTTTTCTTATTGTGTAGAATACTAAGAAAGCATCACCATACAGCACGAAAAGAAATATTGAAAACAAATCAACAGCCACACACTTGGACTCGCCCTGCCCAGGACCCAGGAGGAGCCCCAGGAGTGTGGGTGATTGTCGGGTTTGGGGGTGGGGCACCTCCATGGCCTGTCTCCCCCTCCCTCTGCCTCCCCGCCTTCCCTCTGGAACTTGAGTGGGGAAGACAGAGAGAATCCAGATTCTCCATATAACATTCCAGCCCCTCCTCCCCCCATACAAATCCCATTCCTTCTACCAACTGCTTAGGGGATGGAGAGAGGTGGTAAGAGGGGAGATGAGGCGTTCCCAGGCTCCATGTCGCCTCTCCTCCATGAAAGCCTAACTGCACCCCCCACCCCACCCCAGGGGATTCCAAAGAGTCAGTTAAAAATATATAGATATAGATATTTCTAGATACACTTTTACATCATTTCTGTCTCTCCAAACAAATAAATAATCAGCAAGAGAAGGTGCATTACTTCCTTCCTGTTCAAGGTGGGAAGGGCTGGATAAAGGTCAGGGGTCAGTCTCGCTGCATTGAGTGCACTGCGGGGGGCGGGGGGAGAAATGGTGTGTTCCATTGTGGGGTGTGTGTGTGTTGAAGGGGGGGGGTCCTCTTGCCCACTATCCCTGAAAGCTGTGGGAAACCTGGGGAGTGGAGGGGCAATGGATGACTCCAGTGATTACTTTGGCAAGTGCCCAGATCTTTGGAGGAAGGAGTGGGTGGAGGCAAATTTGGCTTGTGAGAGGAAGAAGAAATGAAGTCTCTACTTGAGATCTGGGTTCTCAGGACCAGCTCATTGGGCTGGCCAGGAGCCCGCTACCCCCAAGAGAAACTTTGGGATACTGACTTGCAGAAATGTCACATATTCAATCAGATCAGCTCCTGCCCCCAGGAATAGAAAGAAAAGGACACATACACATCCACACATGGTAATCAAAAGCCAGGTTTGCCATTACAAGGCAGAGGGCAAAACTGGTGAATATTGCACCGTGAACTGCAGGGGCCCTCACCCCCATCCCATGTCTAACAGTGGCCAAGCCCAGCCTAGAAAGGTGGGTGGACTGATGGTGGGAATAGCCTGAGAAGGGAAGGCCAGCCATTCAACGTTTATTGAGCACCTATCATTCACCTTTCACCCACTCAGCATTTACTGAGCACTGGCTGCGTGCCAGGCGCTGGGCAAGGCTCTGCGGACGCACACATGCATGCGCTACACCCTGGCTTCTTTCAGGGTCCTGATCAAGTCTCATCTATTCCTGACAGTCCCTCTAGGAACCTGCAGAAAACTGGGCATGCTGTGTGTGCCCAACTGGCAGGTGTTCAGGGGGCAGGTAAGCTATAAAGAAGAATGACTGCCCCAGCAAGGAAAAAGCTTCAGAGAGGAAGAAGAATTTGAGCGTCATCCTAAAAGCAGGATGGGGGTGGGGGGAAGCGAGAACTCCAGGAGAGGGACCTATGCATAAAGGTGTGGGCACTGGGTGGACAATTGTGCGTGGAGCTGCAGGAGAGGTAGGGCTACAGGGAGAGGCGAAGAGGGCCAATGCCAGATCCCCCTGAACTGAAGTATAAACATTAGAGTTGAGGGTGGGAACAGGTGATGGAGCAGAGAAAAGAGAGTGGGGCTCAGAAAGGAGGGTCACAGAGCAGGAAGCCAGGGCTGTATGGCTGCAAGAGCCATCTGTCCCTCTGTAAACACACACTCAGGCACACACGTGCACATACACAAACACAGGCACGCGCGTGCGCCCTCAGAGCTCAATTCACGCGGAGATTCACATACATGCCCAGACGGGCTCAGAGACACAAAGGAACACCCATGCAATCATACACACACACATAAATACAAAGGTACACTCAGACACGTAAATGCCAGGTGCCCTCATAAACACGCTCAGGTACCTGTGCGGTCACATGAACCCCTCCGCTTCTGTTTCCTTCCCTGCTCCAAGTGTTGGAATACTGCAAGCGGCTGGATCGCAGAGGCAGGCAGAGACTCACCTGCCACAAAACCAGCCGGGCCTTGCCTAACTCTACCTTCTGCACCCCTTGGGCAGAGCTGGGCTTCTGTCTGCCTGCCACGTCACCCAGGCCAGGCCCTGGAAGGCAGGGGGCGGTGGTGGGTTGCGGGCCGGGGGCCTGCCCCCTCCAGTTTGATCTGTGATCCAGCCTGAGGTCCCTGGACCCCACGCTTTGGCTGCCCCCACTGGGGAGGCAGCAGAGAGGGTGGACTTGGGGGGAGGGGAGGGGAGCAAGAACAACAGCAGAAGAATCTCGTCTGTACAGTACGGGCCGTTTGAGTCATTATTATTACAATATACTTTGACAAAAATAGAATCTCATTTCATATCAATACAACAACAACAAAAAAACAGTTTCCTGGACTGTTACACTGCTAACGTTTTCCAAAGGTTGCTATTTACAATTACAGTAGCCAAGAGGGAAGGTGGGATGCGGCCTGGGGGTGGTGGGGCAGGAGGTAGCGAGACAATGAGGGCGCCAAGAGCAGGGAGGGGGGGTCAGGAGCGGAAGGAGCTGGAGGAGGGCAGGAGGGGGGCAAGGAGGGAAGAAGGGAGGCAGGCCTTCGGACCTCCTCTGTTCCCGCTCCCACCCTCACACACCACGCCCATGTCCACTCCTCTGGGGATGTGTACGTGCAAGGAAGAGAGAGTCCCCTCACTCACACTAGTCCCTGGATGCAAGGGGTTGCGGTCCTTAGACACCCCAGGGTGCCGCAGGCGTCTCCTGCTGAGCCACCTCCCTCTCCCGGTTGGGTTCTCCCTGCACTTCATGGCCAGCTTTGCTGGGCTGGTGTCAGCTGAGGGACGGGGCGCTATTGCACTGTATATCTTAGAGAAAACGCTGGGGAAGGGAGGGGGCCCAACTCACCCCCTGCCCCAGCCCTCGGCCCTCCTCAGCCCTCTGCTCATGGCTCTGTCTCTCTCCTACTGTGCTTCACAGGGGGCCCCACCTCAGACCCCTCCCCGACAGCCCTGATCCCCAGGCAGCCTTCCAGCCCCGGTGCTCGCTCAGCCAGCACCTCCACACCTTGGAGGTGCAGCTCACATGAGGATGGGAAAGTGTGTGCACATGCACAGGGGCGTTGGGGCCCAGGCCTGGGGATTCTGCCCCACGTGCCTGTGGCCACAAGAATAGCCCGGAAGCAGAGACTCTTTTCAGAACCTCTGCCTCACTTTCCCCCTAAAACACAAAACCACTCATTGAGCCGACTTTGGGGTCTCAGTCTATTTTAAGGGGTTTCTGTTGTTTGGTAGTTTTTTTGGTTATTTCCCTCTATCTGGGGGAGGGGGTGGGAGGGCTCCGCATGCAGGGCTCGGCGCCTGTCCTTTCCCAAGGCCTATCGGGCCCCCCACCCCTCCTGCAGCATATGTGTACAACGTGCAAAGTGTCCCCCCCTTCCCGCAAAAAAGAGCCCCTCCCAGCCAGTGAAAATGGCGGGGGGTGCAGAAAGAGGGGATGGGCGCATCCCCCTCTGCAAAGCGAGAATCCAAATTAAAAAAAATATAATAATAATAATAATAATATAATAATTATACACAAATGTAACCGTCAACAGGACACGGAGCACAAGAAAGGAAGTGGGGGGTCGAGCAGGAGGAGCCCAGGACAGGGAGGGGTGGGCGGTGAGATTGTCAACTCTTCATCAGGGAGGCGGAGAGGAGGGGAGTGGGGATCGTCACTTTAATGTCTGTGAAGAGAGGAGATGGAGAAGGGGGTGTGAGGGCGTGGCCCAGGCTATGGGCTCTGTGCCCCCCACGCCCCTCTCCCAGTAGGGCCAGGACTCTGGTGGCAAGGCCAGCTCTGAGGGGGAAGTCATCAAGCAGAAGGACTGATGCTGGAGGGCGGGGAGATGGGCCTCTGGCAGGGGGAAAAGGGGTGCCGGTCCTGCCCCGTAAGGGCTGACGGAAGGGCTAGCTGGCCACACGGCCTCGTGGGTGGGAGACGAGACAGGCTGGGGGCGCTGATGGGGCAGTCCCTGGTGGAGCAGACAACGGCAGACAGCAGGGGCGACGCTACAGTACCCATGTGTCGAGTCGCATCCTCTTCACAGCTGAGCCCTCAGCCTCAGGCTCTGGGGCTGGGCGCAGCAGGCCCAGTGTGGGCCCGAAGTCCCCCCGTCCATCATCCCGGTCCCCCGTCTCGTAGGAGCCCCCAGCCGGGCTGCTGAGACCGTCGCCAGGCTCAGGGCGGGTAGCCGGAAACACAGCTGGAGGGGGAGGCGCAGGGCTGCGCTCACGGCTGGGGGACACTGGTTCCGACTTGATGCTGATGTGGGGGTGGGTGGTGACTGTGAGGGCAGCACCCACGTGGGGCAAGGGGCTGCCCGGGCTGGAGAGCGGCAATGGGCATGAAGTTCAGGGGAGAGAAGAGAGGACGTGAGTGACAGGAAGAGTGAGGAGGGCCACAAGACAGAGAAAGGACAGAGAATGAGAAGATGGGAGGTGGGGTTAGGGTGGGGACATGTGGATGGAGACAAGAGACCAGAAGGGCGGGGGCGAGAAGGGAAAAGAAGGAAGATAAATCGTGTTAGTTTTCTTTCTAATCCACGTCATCTTCGGCAGCCTGGGGGGTCCCCCCACCCCCGGGCTGGCTAGGGGCAAGGCTCAGGTGGGTCTCCCAGGCCTACACCAGGGATGCCAGGGCTGCCACCTCAGTGGCTCCCATGCTGTCCACTGACAACAACCCTGAAGGGATCTCAGGTCTCTGAAGGCCTCTCCTCTTCCCGCCCGACACTCTCCCGCCACAGACACCGGCAGGGCGGCCCCCAGGACTCACATTAGGTTGCTGAGAGACACGGGGACCAGGTGGGGCTGCTGCTGAGGTGGCTGTTGTGGCTGCTGGGGCGGCTGGGGCGGCTGCGGCTGCGGCTGCTGCGGAGGCTGCGGCTGGGGCGGCTGCGGCGGCTGCTGCCAGGCAGTGACGTTGCTGAGCGACAGCCCCCCAGGTGAGCTGAAGGCCGGTAAGGAGGAGAGCTCTGCACTGGTCAGCTGGTAATCTGCACAGGGTGAGGGAGGCAAGTGAGGGGGAGCCTCCCACGTGGGAAAGACAGAGGCTCCCACGCCCTGGGAGCCACCTCCAGGAGTTCTATCAAGGTGGGGGGCGTTGTTAATGACAGCTGAGAATAATTAAATCAGCCCATCTGAAGTCAGTGAAGACAGCACTCAAAGAAACACCAAATCTTAACCACAAGGTGCTGCTTTTTAACAGGATGTAAAAGAGGTGGTTTTTTAAAACAAGCGTTGAACTTTTTTCTTTTCCAGCCATGTGTAGGTATCACTTTTAGAATGCCAATTTTAAAAAAGAAGGGAAAAAGGTAGGTAGGGAAAGTCTAATATATGTCTAACTGTCATCTCTTCGACTGCCAAGTTCCAAGTGCCTTTCTGGGACAGAGGGGAGTCGAGGGAAAGGCTAGGTGAATGGCGCATCTGAAATGAATGACTATAACCACCATTCCTCACCCCCAACACACAGAACAGGTGGCAGCAAGGGCTCCAGCTGCTGCGCCCACAACTCAAGAGGATGCACCTCTGCTGCCCAGGAGGGCCGTGAGGGAAACAGGCCTGCGGGACAGCCGCCTGGGGTCTGGTGGATTTCCCCATGAGGTGGCGTGTCTTGTTTTCCAAAATGCCTGTCTCAGTGAAAAAACTGTGATGTTTGCACTGTCACAGAGCAAACAGAACCGTGAAATGTTTCACAATTTACACAGCCCTGCTGTATTTCATGCCGCAGCCTGTTTGGGACTGTTGAGAAAACGTCTTCCCTGACTAACAGGGCCGAAGGCACTGTGGCTGATGAGGAGGACATACCGACCAGCCGGCCCCCTGCCACACCACTTGAAGGCTGTCTGCTCCAGCCCTCGGGAGCAGGGAAGACAGGATTATCTGTGCAATGGAGCAGAGAGGAGCAGGATGCGAGCCATGGGGTCAACCTTCCTGGCCACCTCCACGTACAGGCCACGTGACTTCGGTGAACTGACTCTGTCTGTAAAGTGGAGGCAATAAACCTGCCTGCCTCACACAGCTGCTTTGAGGACTGAGCGAGTTAATGCATATGAAGCTTAGAGAACAGTGTCTGGCACATAGTAAATATTCACAAGATTTACCTGCTGTTATTATTCATTCACCAATGAGGCAACTGCAGCCTCCAAGTTTGAGGAACTTTCCCAAGGTCACAGTGCAGAGCTCAGACAAGACCCCAGGCTTCTTTATTATCTTTAAATCTCACTCTATAGATGGTCCATGCTTGCCTCTGGTCTTACAACAATGTTAGCCAGGAGTGTTGAGACACTTAAATTTAAAAGGCAGACCAAGGGCAGATAGGAGCCTGGAGGACCAACTCTTTACAACACTCATTTCAGAAACAAGGAAACCAACTGTGAGGAGCGCAGTGCCTTGCCCGATGCCCCCAGCCAGTGAATGGTAGGGGTGCCACACCCGGTCCTATACTCTCCCACCACACTGCTGCCCTGTTACCTACAGATGTGACTCCCCACCTGGCCCCGTGGCCTGCTCCTACAAGGACCACAACCAGACCTCTGCAGCCAGTGTCAGCAAGGGGCCAGGCCTGTCGCTTACCCATGATACTACCAGCGGCAGATCACCCCCAGGTGGGAGTTTGGCCTGGGGCCAGGGACTGTAAACAGTGAACAGGTAAACAGCAGTGTGTTCACTGGGGTTCTGTTTATATACAGAGCGTCACCTGAAAACACCTGCTGTTTAAACTGAGATCTACTTAACTACTCCTGCAGCAGGAGGAACTGGAGCCCCTGGTTTTCGGGAGGATGTGAGAAAGCCCAAACACTTCCCAGCAGGGCTCCGAGGGCAGCCCAGGGTCAGAATCTGCTTTCTCACCAGACTGACAAATAGAGTCTAAAGTCTGGCTTTGCTGAGTGTCTGTCCCAGGTTCACGGACACCGACTAAGCTCCCTTCTGCTGCACAGAGACTGGTGAAGGACCTGAGAAGACGGCAGGACATCACCACCATGCGATTCTTGAGTAAACAACAGCTCCTGAGCGCTGCCCTCTAACAACCACCCCGGCTGCCAAGGCTAAAAGGGCCTCAGAGACCCCTGTCCACCCACAACTCACTGATGAGAACTCCTACTGGCCTCCAAGGGTGCAGCCATCTGAAGCAGTCCTCTCTAAAGCTGCGCAAGAACACGGTAACGTAGGAGTGCATACACACACAGGAGCACATACAAGGGACAAGACTTCACAGACACCCAGGTGATAAACTCTGGACACCACACGCATGCCAGGGTCCCTCCAGCTCTCTCACCTGTCCTAAGGGCCTTTCCTACACACAGGGCTGGGTTCTGGATTTTCACACACAGGGAAGAGGTGGGATTCTGTGGTTCTCTGTACTGGTGTCTGGGACCTACCTAGTATGATTCAACTCTGGAATGGGGGCCTGGAGAGTGGGGAGAAGTTTAGTGGTCTTTGGTCTAGTCTGATTTTACTGCAGAATAGCCCTGATGCAAGTCACTCACAGCTGAGAGAAGCTGGGGAACATGAGAGGCTTGCCTCAGTGAGACAAACAGACCAGGGTCCCAGCCACACAGATGCTCTGAAGCAAGGTGACAAGGCATTTCTGCACTGGCAAGTCCTTCCTGACACAGCAGCTTGGAATGCAGGCGAGGATGTTCCGTCACAGACTGTTCCTGGGAGGGTGTGAGTGGGTGACAGAGGCCAGGACAGCCCTGGGGACCCAAGACAGTCTAAGCACTGGGTGTCCTTTCTGAATTCTTCTACCCAGAGACCTCTCTCATGTCACCAAGTGACAAGTCACCTTCAGACCCCCTCCCCCACCTTCATCAGACTTCCTCCTCCCTTCCCCTGTCATCATTCCACCAAGCCAACATCAGGCTGAGAGCCCACTTCTTCCTCCTCCACCTTGCCCTGGAGTCCCTACTTGGCTTTCCCAGGAAGCTGGATACATCTTCCTAACCATGCTTCCTCTCGGGCCTTCACCACCTCCCTCTCTCTAATTTCTTCATCCTCCTCCTCCCGGACCTGGACATGCTTCCCTCCCCACTCCCTGCCCTGGTCAGCCTGAGTCACCCAGCTGCTCAGCCCACCTCAGACAGGAGCTGCCCAAGGACAGGGCTCTCCTCCATCAGGTCCTATGTAAAAATAAGGGACACTCATATAGATTTGATTTTTCAGACGAAACAATGAATGATTTTTCTGTAAGTATGTCTTGGAGACAGTTCCAGGAACACCATCACCATGTGAATGGCATCTGATGTTGCTATTTGCTAAATCTGGCAACCTTAATTAGGTGGTGCACTTTGCGTGTGTGTGTGCTCATTCATGTCCGACTCTGCGATGCCAGGGGCTATATAGCCCACCACGCTCCTCTGTCCATGGGATTTTCCAGGCAAGAATACTGGAATGGGGTGCGACTTTCTGGGGGCTCCCCCAAATCAACGGCCTTCCTCAGATTGGGGCAGCCCCCAGAGAATACGTTGTGTTCCCCCTGTGGTCCCACCCCTACCCCAAGGCCAACTGCACCAAGCTACATGTAACATGAACACTCACCTGTATTGTAGGCGGTGGGCATGGAAGAGAAGGGGAGGCCCTGGCTGAGTAAACTCGGTGTTGCCACGGAAACCACTGGGGTTGTGAGCGAGTGCGTAGACTGGGAGACCCCGAGGCGCTGGGCATTGTTCTGCAGGAGAAAACAGTCTGTCAGAGATGGCAGATGGGTGGGCTGCTTTATCCAGGCCCCCCATTCCAAAGCCCAGCTGGGCAACTCAAGGCCCAGGTGGGATGCCTCAACATGGAGGTCCCAGAGATACACACACACAAGGCTGCACACAGAGACGTTGAAATCCACGGAGAGAAACATGCGCACACAGATGCACTCCCACCTACACATGCCGGCCCTGTGGCCCCAACGCCCGCCGGGCCCCATCTCCACTGCTCTCCTGGCTGGTCCTCCGTCCGTCACGCTGCAGCACACAACCTGCTAGAAGCATGCTGGCATGTGTGAAGGGAATGCGGGGCCTGGCGTGGCGTGTGCCTGCGTGTAAGCACACACGTGTGTGGGGCTGTCAGCTCCATCTGCCGCTGAGTCACTTGTTTATTCCAACTCCACACTGGGGCCGAAACTGCCGCCGTGTTGGCCGCCAAAGCCTGCCTGCCTTTTCCAGCCTCTCTGGCCTCCCGTCAGGGAGCTGGGGAGGGAGGAGCCCCCACCCCACTCCGGCTGAGGGTGAGTATATAAGTGTGTACATGTGTGAGAGAGAGACAGTGGCTGTGTGCACCTCTGAGTGCCTGTAAGACAGGCTGTATGCAGGAAGGAGCACAGAGATGGGGATGCAGGGAAGCCCACGACCAAGGACAACTCTGGCCTTGCCTGGTCTCAGCTTCCCCTAGAAAGCCGACTTTCCTGTCTGGCTGGCACTCCACTGGAGGGCCCTGTCCGGGGTGGGCCTGAGTAGTCAGAGGGCAGGGGCCTAATGCAGGCATTCTGGGACACAACGAGATGGGACTTCTGAGGCCTGAGGCATGGGGCAGGCCCATTCCCCTCTCGTGCACATGTGTACGCACACGCAGAGAGGTGAGTCTGCATGAACGCAACATCACATGAAGATGGCCACAGACATTCAGGTACCCACACGTGCATGTGTAACCCCTTGCCCCCAACCCATTCACTTCTGTATCCCATCTGGCACTGAGCACAACTCCTGGCAGATAACCAAACAACAGGGGCATACACACAGGTGAAAGGACAAAGGCACACACACACTCCATGCCGGGGGGGCGGGGGGGACCGCAGAGCAATGGGTGGGCCTAGGATTCAAAGCCACAGCAGACATCTCCCCGCCTCACTTACCAGATCTAAATGGTCCTCAGTCTGGGAGCAGAAATAAAACCAAGGGGATGGTTCAGTCTCTGTCCTCTGCCCTTCCCTCACAGCCCTGCCCCCATAGCCATCCCATCTACCTCTCTGGCCCAGAATGACAGAGGTCTTCGCCGTCCTGACTGATCTCCGAAGATGCTATATCCCAGAGCCCACCAGTGAGGAAATCCTCACAGGCTAACCCGCATCCCTCTGCTGTGATGGCAAGTCTGCCTCTCATCCTCCTGTTATCATCAGGGAACCTCTCTCCCACCTTGTGTCCTGTTTCACCCCCTGTGAGGCTGGTAATTCTGTGTTCCAACCTCTCATAAGGCCCTTTGGGAGGAAGAGCTCATAAAAAGCCACGATTCCACATTCTCTTGGGAGGTCCTACCTGCTGTTTAACTTTCATCTCTTCTGCTGGAGGTCAGCTTTGTCCTCCCTCCCCACTCTCCATTCCTCAGCCCCTGCCCCTTGGTTCAAACACCCTACTCACCAAGTGATGCATTAACCCCTTTCCTCCCTGGGAAGTGATGACCCTCAGGTCAGGCTTGCGGCTGGGGGCTCCAAGCTGGGCGCTGTGGGTGGGTGGGGGTGGAGACTTGGCGGGGATGACCTTGTTTAGGCTGTTGCCGTTGGCCACGGGGAGGAGGCCAGGGGAAGCCCGAGCACTGACATAGCCGTTCCCTGGAGAGGTGAAGAGAAAGGGGCAAAAGGAAAAACATGGACCTACCACTTATCCTTATTAACTGCGCCAGAAGGCCTGTTACCCAGAACTTCTCAGAATCATGCTCAGGTTTTGAGTAGGGGCCGAGTTCTCCAATTTTCCCCTAAAGCCACCTTGTCTTGGCAATAGGGGGAGAACACCCCTTACTCCTCAATCATCAGGTTCATCCCCATGCCTCCAGGCTACATGTGATGGGGCTGGGTGGTAGGAGCTGGTCACTGATGGCAGAAGTCCAGCACTTGCCCCCAGCCGGGCCCATAAGGACACAGGCTGTACAAGGGCGGCAGCCTGAAAGCTAAGACTCAGTGAGGATCCTGGTCACAAGATCAAATCAATACTCGGACTGCTCCCCTTGCCTTGAGCTGGGAATGCCGGGAAAGACACACCATGAACTTGTCATGGTGGTGTTACTGGAACTAGCCAGCTGGTGACATAGCTGCCCCCATAATTACACTGGTAATAACAAGCAGAATAACCATCTTTTATACTTGTTCCACACTCCATAACCAACACAGGGCCTTCACATACATCTTAGCATATTTAATCCTCACACTTACCCTGCAAGACAGACAGGACATGTATCATTAGCCAAATTTACAGAGGCAGAAACAAAGCCCACTTGGCAGAGGTGTGATATGTCCGGAGCCACAAAACCACTTTCTAGTGCTGTGCTTGAGGGTCTATAAGGATCACTGTTCCCTTTAGGTCTGCAGACATTTCTCTGGCCCTTTCTTTGCGGGGGGAGCGGTATTCACCCATCTCCTGCCCCATACACAACTACTGCCAAGGAGGCAGCACATGGTGCCTGCAGAACTCTAGACCCCAGAGATGTGGGAGTGACCACAATCACAAATGTCACCTTGCTCTGTCTCCTGAGAGCACACCGCTTCCCTGGAAGTGTGTGGCTGCCTCCATCCCAATTCCCGGATCACTCTGGGAATGGCAGGAATGTCATGGTGACGTCAATGGTGACATTCGAAGTCACAGTCGCCAGCGGACAACAGCACAGGGTGGGAGGGGCTGTCAGCTGCTGGGGGCGGGGGGCGGGGGGGGGGGACATGGAGGGAGCAGTCTTTCTTCTGTGGTTCATAGATGTGTGCTCACAAGTGCACACCTATTGTCTGGATATTCCCGTAAGAATGAGAATGTCTGTGTGTGAGAGTGTATGTGAGTCCACGCCTCTATTGTCGGCAACGTCAGATATTCAGATCCTCCAGATCCCAACCAGACACCCCTAACTCAACTGGAAAACCCTGGAATCTCTCCTCCAGCTGGAAACGTCGGTGAGTTCTCAGTTTGCCCAGAAATCCCTAAGCCTACATCTTTGTTGATCATCCGCACCAATCACTGCTACAGACAAAAAAAATCCAGGGGCTTAAAAGTCCTCAGACTCTGTATACAACCAACTCAGGTCCTGGGATCTTTCTCTCCTCTGACCTAGGCCCCTCCTGGTCCCTGGACACCTGAAGCCACTGAGCAGGCAGACTCTGGCCCACCCCTAGACAGAAGAGCGGCTTTACTCACCGACAGGGCTGGGGCAGGCTCCGTTAGCACTGCTGAGGTCTCCCCCCAGCATGGCCCCTGGAGGAAAAAGAACCATGAGCTGACAGGATGCCCCCTTCCAGGGTGCGTCCTGGGAACTGAACAGGGAGTGGAGCCGCAGTCCCTTTCCTCAGGAGCCACGTACATGGTAGAGTGCTGCGGTGGGGGGCGTGGGACGGTCACCGCGGAAAATGGAGTCCCCACATCCTCACCACACCTCACCGCCACCTCTCCTGCCCGCCATCGGACCACTCACCTGCACTGGCTGGCCGCTGCGGCAGGCCGGGAGACACGCTGTTCCTCTGTAGTGCTGGCTGCTGGGGGGACAGGAGCCGTGGGTCCGTGAGGGATGACGTCACCAGGGAAGGGGTGACCAGGGAGCCGCTGGGGTTGCTGAACTGCAGGGAGCTCTGATTGGACACGGGCACCGTGACGGGCATGGCAAAGTTGGGGGCCGGGACAGCTGACTAGACAGAAGATGGAGAGGCAGGGTCAGGCCAGGGTGACCCCCTTTAGCCTGGGCCCACTCTGTCTGGGAGGGCAGGCCGGGGTTCCTCTATAGTCTCTGGGCTGTGTGTCCTACGGCCAGCAGCAGCTCGATCTCTCTGCTCTGGGTCCCCCTGGAATCATGCCTGCCCCTCCCACCAAGGAAGTACGCAGGCTGGAGAGCTTTGGGATCCAGTACTGGCCCAGAGAATGAGAAGACTCTGCTCACTGCAGATGGACCCGGGACACCTAGAACCCCCCTAGTGGAGGTGGGTTAGTCCTCAGCCAGGCAGGACACACGGAGAGCAGGTTAGAGGCCCTGAGTATAGACCCCAACTCACACACAGAGCTGTCAAGGACGAGCGCGTGGATAGGGACGTCACCTCATAGTCAGCTCTCATCCGTCCACCTGCTACAGAGGGTGTTCACCCACCTCACCTTCTTCCCTTTCAGCAGTCTCTGCCTCCCCTCAACAGTGCGACTGAGTATCTTGGGCTGGGGTGTCAGAACAGGCTGAGAGGGGCCTCTCCCCAAACAGATCTGGACAAAGAGCACATTCTCTACTCTCTAGCCATCTAAGGATCTCAGGCCATCTACACACTTCCTGCTGGTGAGGGGGACACTCCAGGCCTCTCCCAGTTTATGCTCCATGACAAGGGTCACAGGTTTAACACAACCAAGGTCAGAGGGTCCTCAGTGGTCACCAGCAGCCCCACACGGCTCAGAGCAGGACATCCACCAGAGGCAGCCGAGGGCCGGGGCGGGGCGCAAAGCCACACCATGCACCACAGGGAGGCTCTCCTCCATGCGACTACTCACGGCCAGTCTATAACTCTGCATCATTTTATCAAATTCCTCGTCTATCTTTTTATATTTCTCCTCCGTCTGGGGGGTCAGGGCAAACACCTCGTCCACCTCAGGGCTCTCACATTCCCTGTGCTTCTTGTGCAGCGCCTGGGGGGAAGGGGCCGGGAGGGGGGGCCAACAGAGAGAGAGTGAGTGGGGCTCACCCCATAGCGCCGGAAGAGCCCGTCCAGCTCCTCGCTGGCGCGCCGGTACTTGTCCTCCAGCAGGGGGCTCTGTTCCAGCGAGTCCTCCCCGTCGGGCTCCGGGCTGTCGCAGCCGTTGAAGCCCTTCTTCCTCAGGGTCTGTAACCGCACCACTACCATCAGCAGGGGCCAGGGTCCTCCCCTGCCCGCCCTCTGGCGCTCCTTCCGGGCCCCTCCCTAAGACTCCCCTACTGTCTGCTCACCTCAGGGTTCCCAGCCCCCCGCCCCCAGGGTGACCCCCCACCAAGGGCACTGTGTGACTGTGGTTGGTGGTGGAGAGTGCTTCCCAGGAGGTGGGGGGCGGGGCATTTCTGGGGGGTGGGTTGAGGGACCAGGGTGCCTGTGCACCCTTAGGTGAGCCCAGGCCAGAAGGCACACAGGGCTCCCCAGGAGAAGGCAGCTCCGGGGCTGACTGCCTGACTCCATTCCTGGGCTCTGTTTAAAAGAAGAAGGGAAGAGAGAAGTAGAGGGAGACAGAGAGGGAGAAGAATAAGAGGGAGAAAGGCAAAAATCTTCCTCTGCATTCACCCCAGCTTGTGCGCGGTCTGTGACCCATGGCTCCCGCTTCCCTCATGATTCACACAAAGCAGGGCAGGCGGGCACGCCCGGTACAGAGGAGACCCCCGGGCTGCCCTCTGCACGCTCAGCACACCTTCACAGATGCTTCTTTTCTCTTGGAAATGAATGTCAATTTTACTTCCTAGTCTAAACCTGTTTTCTCTAATATAAAAATAAAGGAATTTCCTCCATATCTGTTGAAATAAAGTTTTGCTCCAGGAAGGCAGGCCTGTGGCTTCTTAGGCACCCTCTTCATCGGCACAGGTCCTGAACCCCCAGTGTGAGGAGCAGACACTGGGCTGTCTCACTCGATTCACAACACTCTTCAAAGCAGGCACTGGCCCCATTTCGTGGGGGTGGGCACCAAGGCTTGGGGAAGCTAAACCACCTGCCCAAGGCCACACAGCCAGTAAAGGCCAGAGCTGGATTCCAAAGCCCATGTCCCTTAACGGTTCATCAGGTCGGCTTGCTCTGAAACAGCAAACAGAGCCACAGGGACCCACAAAGGGACAAAGACAGAGCAGGAGAGATGGAGACGAAAGAACGAGACAGAGAAAGGGAGAGTCAGATGCCGGGGCACATCAAAAGACGGAGAAGGAAGGAAAAAGAGAGAGACTCTGAGAGAAGACAGAGCAGAGATGTCATGTTCTACCTGACAGACGTGAAGAAAATGGCTCAGAGAGTGCTGGGTGGGCGTGGGTTGAGTGGGCAGCCCCAGCTGACAGCCCCCTTGCTGCCCGCCTTCCCCCTCGGGCCCAGGGTTTGTGTGAGAGGATGTAGGTTTGTGTGTGTGCGCACACAGGTGAGGGGCTCCCAGGGGCGGGGTACGTGTGTGCGCGCGCGGGTGTGGGGGTCTGCGCGCGTGGGCCCACCTCGATGATGTCGGCGTTGGTGCGGCTCTCATGCGGCTCGTTGTACTCCGTGTACTTGAGCAGCACCTTGTCCATGTCCGTGCTGGCGTACTGGAACAGCTTGTTGGAGTGGTTGAAGATGATGAGCGCGATCTCGCAGTCACAGAGCACGCTCAGCTCGTACGCCTTCTTCATCAGCCCGAACTTCCGCTTGGTGAATGTCACCTGTAGATGGGTGGGTGGGCGGCCAGGTATGGCTCAGTCAAGGGCTGCCCAGAAGTCCCACCCACAGGCAGCTGGACAGAGCCCCTGCCTCAGGGTAACACAGCCCTGTTCTTAGGAGCCCGTGTCTGGGGAAGGAACAGGTCAGCACCTCTCCACCAACACAAGGCCAAGACATAGCCCGGAGCCAATTCACTGAAGGCAGAGAATTCAGATGGACAGAACTCCACACCTCTGGGCTGGAGGCTATGAAGAGGTTAGGGAAGGAGAAGACAAGGGCTTCCAGGCTCTTCCCTTGGGATAGGAGGAGGGAGGGATTCATCCTGTGAAAGGGGAAGTGCCTGGGCATGTTCTGAGGCCTGCACGTTGAATATGGGAGGGACACGGGTCTGCCTGGCCGCAGCAGCAGGTGAGTCCTAGGGTTCTAGGACCCAAGATTCTAAGAGATGCAGGGAGATGGGGGGTTCCTCTTCTCCCAACTCAGCCCTTGCCCTCCGATAATAGATTCCAGAGCCCTCTTATTCCAGGAAGCCTTCTTAGAGTGGCTAGAAGGAGTGGAGGCAGAGGTCAGCTCCCTGCCCACAACCATGCTGTGGGGCTCCAGGATCCCCTCACCTGTCGGTTCCGCTCATCGGTGATTCGCTGGATCTGAATCTTTTTCCTCCCCATCTTTTCTGGGGATCCTCAGTGCCAGGAAAGGGAGGGGATTGCTGGGTGGCGGGTCTCGGCACACCTTACACTGTGCTCATGAACAGTCTTGGACCAGCGCTCAGTTCATGGTCTGCAGGACACCTTCTGCACAGCCTCCTGGGTGGGGAGGGTTACAAGAGGACTGTCAGCCGTGGCAACCCGCAGCCCAGTTCCCTGGGCACACCAGCGAGGCTAACAGCCCAGCTCCTCAGGCACACTGGCCAGGTTCACAGCACCCCTGTGAGAGGCTGCCAGCATCTGAGCCCCATCCACAAACCGAGGAAATGGTGGCGACCTGAGGCGATGGCATGCCACAGCCAAGCACAAGTTAGAATTCACTCAGGCCCAGGACTCTGCTAAAGGCTTTACCCACACCATCACTGCTGCCCTCAGGTTTTAGGTCAGACAGAATACAATCAGAAAGCTCCCTGACTTCTACGGGTCTGGGTCTTAAGAGAATGCCTCAGGCCCTCCATTCTTCCCAGAGCTCACCCAGAGCAGAGACACTCTGGGCTCCCTGGCTGCCCCACTGGTGAAGGATGGAGGTTCCCAGATGGAGCCTGGTGCAGAGAATAGGCCGAGTGAACACATGCCAAGAGTGTGAACAGCTCACATGGGGTACCTGCTACCAGAATGCCAGTGTGTCTGGGCCCCTGGCTCAAGAACATAACAGTGCAGGTCCAGAGCAGTGGTCCTCACACCTGACTCAGAGCCCTGGAGCCTGGAGCCCTATCTCCCTTCAACCAGGGCTCCTGGACACCAATCTGTTCTACTCAGTGAGCCTTGGCCTAAATTTCAGGCTTGAAGAAAGGATTCTGCTGCTTTAAACAAACAAACCCTCTAGACCAGAGGTCTGTGAATTTTTTCTTTAAAAAGCTAAATCATAAGTATCTCAGGCTTCGCAGGCCATACAGTCTCCACTGAGATGACTCAACTCTGCCATTGCAGCGTGAATGCAGTTGTGGACAACACAATTAAAGGAATGAGTGTGGCTGTGCCCCCAATAAAACTACATTTTTAAGAACAGGCGGCATGGGCAGATTTGGCCCATGGGTCATAGTTTGCACACTCCTGCTCTAGAGGAATGGGCCATGTCTAGAACCCAAGTTCAGACTGAGAGCAGTGCCCCCTAACCTTGCTCAACTCGGAGCAGCAGAGAAAATGAAAGATCAGTGCCATACAGGAAAGAGGCTGCTGGCAGCCAGCGGGACACAGGCACCGGCTGGAGGGATCCCCGTCTCAGCCCACCTGTAAACCCAGCACGGCCCACTGCCTAAAGAGCTCCAACTCCAGAGCCAGGAAGGGAAACGGAGCCCCACACTGAGCGACATGAGGTAACGGGATGGAAGGAGGCACAGAGATGACAGCCATGCTCGAGCCAGAAAAGGTGCATGCTCAAGGGTGGACAGCACTCTAACAGGCCGGTGGGGTGGGGCGGAGGGGACAGGAAGGGCCCAGATGGAGGCACAAGATGACCCCAGAGCCCTGCCGGCTCTGTGATTCCAGAGATGGAATAGTGGGGGACGGTGGCAGGGGGCCCATGCCTCCTAAAGAAAGCCACTCTGAAAGGGTCCTGGGAGGAGTCCCGGCCACATGCCAGCCCTCCTCCAGAGTTCCCCTTCTGCAGAGTCCCTGCGGGAGAGCCACCAGTGTCCAGGGGGGTGGGCTCTCACCTCCCCCACCCAACCCAGACAGAGGTGTCATTGGAACCCCCTCCCCAGCCCCCATTTCAGCGGTTGCTGGGTTTCTCTGGAGCCTTTACATATCCACTCAACTGTGCCCCACTGGGTTCCACAGCAGATGCTGAAGTTCCGCCTTGGCCATAGAGGGGAGCAGAGAGGGCCAGCAGGGACTCTGTGGACTTGGAAGGAGCCAGGAATATCCCTCCCCACTGTCTCCCAGGACTTTCCCTCAGGCCTTCCCTTGCTCAGCTAGCTGGGAAGAGCACTTCTGCTGAGTCCAGGTATCTCTGGAAAACAATGTAGCTCCCTCTCCACTCCAGGAAGGACCCTCCACCCCTCCCTCTGTCTTCCCAGGGAGAAATCCCCAAACATGCTTCCCTTCTTTCCTACCCTCAGGGTGCTCCATGGGCCCTGGACCTTCTACTGTCCACCTTCACACATGCCCTAGGACATCACCAACAACAGCCCAGTCAACTCTGAGCTGGCTGAGCTGACATCTGGACCCAGAACCAGCTCCAGCCATCCCATCCCTTGCCTGTGACCCCAACCTCTGCCAAACACTGTAAAGGCTCTACTCCAAGGATTTCGGCTCCTCTGCCTTCCAGTGCAACCCAAAGGCTGTATTTTCCAGAGTTTCAGTAGTATGGGCTTGGCAGGGAAGGCGGGGAGGAAATACTGAGGGCAAGGGAGGGCTAAGATAGGGCTTTCTTAAAATTTAATTTTTCAAGAAGAGGGCTATTTAAAAAGGATTCTCTGGCCTAGCCTTGAAAACCCCAATCTAGATTGGTAAATGCAGTCACCATAACCCTACTCTGGTTTATAGCTTCTACCTCTGTCCCTCTCCTATTTTATACTACCTCATTCTTGCCACCTTTTGTTCATCAGCAAATTTTTGCTGAGATATAACCACTCTCAGCTTATGGCCCATACTCTCTTTGCTCTCATGATCCTCAGAAGACTCACTCCTACAATCTAACTTCTTTCCTTAGGCCCTCCCAAAATTACTGATTCTCACAGTATTTTAATCTTGTCTTTCTAGCACTTATCATGAATGTGCGTGTGTGTGAAAGTCGCTCAGTTGTGTACAACTCTTTGCGACCCCATGGACTGTACAGTCCATGGAATTCTCCAGGCCAGAATACTGGAGTGGGGAGCCCTTTCCTTCTCCAGGGGATCTTCCCAACCCAGGGATGGAACCCAGGTCTCTCCCAATGCAGCCAGATTCTTTACCAGCTGAGCCACCAGGGACACCCAAAAATGCTGCAGTGGGTAGCCTATCCCTTTTCCAGCGGATCTTGACCCAGGGATCAAACTGGGGTCTCCCGCATTGTGAGCGGAGTCTTCACCAGCTGAGCCACCAGGGAACCCTACCATGAATGTAAATAATCATAATTCCGTGCTTCTGTTTAATGCCTGGCTCCCCTATAGGACTGAAGCTTTATGAGAGCAGGAACTACGTCTGTATTCTTCACCACTCTATCCCCTGTGAAGATGAACTCAAGAAATGTCTGTTGAAAGGAAGGGCGGGGTGTTTTATTGACCCTGTGAGAAGTTCTTCCTGAGGTCTAACTTCCATTAGTCCTGCTGTAGGACCAGCTCCCCTCACTCTGTGCTCTGTGGAAACATAACTCTTCCTCTCCCAGCTGCACCAATAGCCTGCCTGTTTGGACACCATCTCCCCTCCAACCACCCCTGCCACTTCAGTCCTCAACCCTCCCTACCCTCAGGTTGGTGGGTACAGAGGGTGAGACTCTGAAGTCTTCTAAGGAGCAGCCCTGAGCACATGGAGATGGAGAGGATGGGGTTGCTTAGGCAACTGTCGCCTGGCAACCAGCTCTCTGGCTGATCTCCTACACCGCCCCCCCCCCACCCCCGCCTCATGCTGGGGGAGCTGGGATGCAAGAGGGATCAGGACTGAGAAGACAGGGAAGGCACAGAGACCCACTGAGCCTCCGCTGACAGAGGAAGGTCAGGGTTAAAAGGGCCAGGCCTCACCTACCCCCAGTCCCTGCCAAGGTAGCCCAAAGCACTTTTTATAACTCCAGGCTCCAGTGGCCCCTTCCCCACTGCTACTCCTACCTCTGTGCCAACACTGCCCAAGGAGAAGCTGCCCCTACCTCGGGCAGTCCTTCTTCCTAACCAGGAGCCGTCCCAGAGAAAGCAGGCTCAGTCTGTACTCCCCTCTTTCCCCTTCTGCTATTCAGCCATTCTACATTACTGCAGAGTCTTGGAAGGCTTGGGGGCAAGAACAAGAACTCAGCCCTTACTTTGGTAAAAGGGCTGGCTGGGGCCTGGGTGGGCACGATGAACCCTAAACTGACCCTATCCAAGGTATGGAGGCCTACCTTGTCCAAGCTTCCCTGCTAGACAATTAGGGAAATTTTAATGAACACCTGGACCTCCTTAATTAGCCCTCTGCCTAATTACCTAACCAACTGCCAGCAGCCAGAGGCCTGAGCATCTGTTATCCAGATGTGAGCCTTTTCCTCCTCGCCTGGCCCAGCCCCATTCCTCTTCCCCTCTCTAGTCACTCCTCCTCTAGGAAGCCCTCCCAGATAACCTGGCTTTTGGCTGCTTCTCCTGGAAGCCAAAGGCTTGGGAGGGTGGAAAGCTGCTATGGAGACAGGGGGTTGTCCAGAATGGTCTTTCTGCTCCGATGGCCCCAGGGCCCACTCAGTCCTGACCTCAGGCCACAGCTATGATTCGGGCTGGCAGCATCGCTGTCACTGAAAGTCCCCCCTCAAAGGCTCCAGCTGACTCTGATTCACCTACTCTGGGTAGTGCTGGGAGGACAGGACTGGGGAGTAAGTGGGAGCAGACAGAGAGAGGGCCTCACCCCATGGAGACAGAAGGAGCGAAGCACGAGGGGGATGGCAGCTGAGTTGAGCCCCAGGGAGGCAGGCGAGGACCCACTGTGGAGAAGGGAGGCTGCAGGAAGCTGTTGCTAGTGGGGTGCAAAGAGGGCAGGAGGCTTCTCTCACAACACTCGTGACAAGGAGAGGCTGAGGGAGGGAACCAGACAGGGTGGGGTTCCAGGAGGACCCCACGGACAGCCAGTTTTCTCCGCTGGGCCACAGACCCAACAGGAACATGTGGGTTGTACTGACAAGCAAAGGAGGTGTAAATAATAAATGAAGTGTACCCTAAAGGGGGTCTTGGAGGGGGCATGGGAGAAGTAATAGGCCCCTGCCTCCCCCAATGTAACACCTCTTGGTACCTGAGCAATACTCAAACCATTCTCGGGTTTCAGAATGATGCTATCTCAGTTCCTGTGTGAGGGTGGCCTGGGGCCAGCTG